CGCTTCGTCGATAATCAAACATTTCAGATTCTTCACCATAAAATCTTCGGTGTTCTGAAAAAAAAAAACCCGCGACACATAATCTGTTTCTGGACCAAAATGGTCATTTTGAATAAATTACAGTCAGAAGAGGATCAAGTAGTTTAAAAAAAATCAAGAGAGTCAAACCATTCAGTATAAGCTACAGACTCACTCTGTATGAAAGCTGATTTATTATGCGCTTTTTGCAGCTATGCAATGCAGAAGACGCATATTAACTAGGGGTTGTCTGTATGTGTGTGTCTGTGTGTTTGTCTGTACCGATTTTTCATCTCGAGACCGGCAAAAGCAACAGGGCTGAAACTTTAAAGGGACATAATCTACATGCACGTACGGGTCCCCATCCCCGAAATGGGCGGTCTTACCCGCGTGGTGCCCGCGTAAGAGCCCGCCAAAGTTTTTTTTTTGGGTAAGTTGATAACTCGCGAACCAGGAAAGCTAGAAAGCTGAAATTTTAAGGGAATGTTCCCCGTCCAAGTAGGTCTAGATGAAATCTTAGGGTTATGTTCTTCGTCCAAGTGGGTATTAGTGGGCTCAAACCCAACCCCCGGGTAAACGTGGTACCCACATACAGGTTCGCCAAAATTTTTCCCGGGTAATTTGATAACTCGAGTACCTGAGACGCTGAAGGACTGTAATTTTAAGAGGATAAACCCATCCACCTAAGTTTCATTCAGCTCGAACCCAACTCTCGGGTATGCTTGGTAAACACGCACGGGCTCGTGAAAATTTTGTTCCAGTAAGTTGCTAACTCAGGTGCCAGGGAAGCTAGAAAGCTGAAATTTTAAGGGGATGTTTTCTGACAGTTCTGGCGGCCAATCTTAATTTGCTTAGCTAGAAGCATTTGTCGAAAAAGCCGGTGCCGGTAGCAAAAAAAGCTGCGGGGAAGTATGCAAAAAACGCATTTTCGCACGGGCAGCCCATGCGTTGGCCAATTATTACATTTATACTCATTTCAGTGTTACAACAGGCTGCTTATCTTACATTGTCTCTGTCAGTGACTAAACGTGTCATGTCGGGAACTTCCCAGACGCTGGTTTGGCAGGCACGGAAGCGAAAAATCCTGCTGAACCTCGCATCCAGCTGACATGCATTTCCAATAATAAAAGAAATAAAATATAAGCGGCAATTCTACATAAGCAAAAAGATACAGAGACGGTCTTGCTTTTCCGTTAAACGGTACATTTCAGCGAATTCAAACACAATCACTTGAGTTTTCTTTCCTTTTTCCATAGGCCATTCTCGCCGCCACTGACTGATATGCAGTAGGAAATGCAAGCAAGCGCAAAAATTCCGAACAGAACAGGAAAAAACAGAGCCATTATTTGTGAAAAATACTGTTTGCCTGATGGATGAGAAAAAAAAGAATTAAAACGAAATGGTACCTGTAGATGGTCAAGCAGGCGACCTGGGGTTGCAACCAGGAAGCTAATTCCCCGAGCCAATTTCTGCGCCTCCGCTTGTCGATTTGCACCACCCATCACCAAACCATGTGTCAAAGAGGGGTGCTTCTCCAGAATTTCACTCAGAACACCGTATGTTTGCATCGACAGCTCTCTAAAAAATTTCCAACTGAATAAATATGCGTTCAGAAGGAACAAATAGCAACGCGCACCAGACTAGCCGATGCGATCACGCGTTTTGTGCAATTCACCCATCGAACGATTGCCTATTAATGATTTTCACTGCATTCTTCTTTAGTCTATGCAAAAATAATTCAAACATCAGAAAACAGTTAAAAACTTCACGCACCAGCGCATGAAAGCTGAATTCGAATCTTAAAGGGTGAATATCTTTGTCCCGAGTTAATAGTTTACCCGCCAAAATTTTCACAAGGCCGTAGGTGATAACAGCGAGGGAACGCTGAATTTGAATAGGCAGCGTTGAGCGTGGGCAGGGGTTATAACCCTAAAATTTCAGCCTCCTAGACTTCGTAGTTCCCGAGATATTAATTTACCCATAAAAAACTTTCACGGGGCCATACGTGTTACCCGCGGGTACGGGGAAGCTAAATTCAAATTTGCGGGGTCACACGTGGGTGGGGAACGTATCCCTAAATTTTCAGCTTCCTAGCTTTTGTGGTTCTCAAGCTGAAAGTTGCGGACAACTTGCTGCGGACACACAAACACACACACTCGGACAACTCCGAGAAAATATGCGTTTTTATGCGTTTTTGCCTATATGCAAATTGCAAAAACGCATATTGGAACGACCCTGTCTGTGTGTGTATGTGTATGTTTGTGTGTGTGTGTGTGTGTGTGTGTGTGTGTTCGTCTGTCCGGAATTTCAACTCGGCAACCAAGCAAGTTTCAGCGCCGAGATTTTGCTAATGGGTACCCCGGCCAAGTACAACTCGGCAACTAAGCAAGTTCCAGCGCCGAGATTTTGCTAATCGGTACCCCGGCCAAGTACCACAACACTCGGCAACCAAGCAAGTTTCAGCGCCGAGATTTTGCTAATGGGTACCCCGGCCAAGTACCACCCTGGAATTGCGGTACCATCCCTCACGCACGTCTGGGTCCCGCGTACGAGAGGGGGAAAGTTTCGGCGGGAAAATTCGTAACTCGAGGACGGGAAAAGATAGAAGGCTGAAACTTTGGGAATATGTCCCTACACCATACGCGGCCCTCACATTTTAATATCATCCCCCGTGGACGCCTGGGTGCCGCGTACGGACCCC